GCTGCATCTGTCACAGGTCACTGGCTGTGTGTCCAGAGGCGCCAGGAGAGGGAGCCCGATCGGAGGCTCGGGCTGGGGTGAGGGGCCTGCCCCGTCCATCCCGGGGAGTCTGGGCCTCCGATGCCACCCCGTCTCCTCCTCCAGGGCTGGAGAAGGTCTCCCGCATTCAGCCCCCGCCCCCCATTCCCAGCGCTCAGCAGCCTGGTCCCCACGATGCTCTTGCTGCTTCGCCTCAGTGGAGCCCTCAGCCAGTTCTCAATCTAAATGACAGCTGCCCTCAGCCAAGTCAACTCCAATTAATTTCCGAAGCCTTCCAGGGGCCTGGCCGAGCCTCGCACCAGACTCCGTTGCCCCGGCGGGCCAGCGCGAGCCCCTTCTTCACCCTCGTGGGGCCGGGGAAGGTGGGGCCTCACAGGGTCCCCCCTGATCGTTGGTGGGGGGGGGCCCTTTCTACCTCTCGGGAGCCCCCGTGCAAGCTCCGTGCCGCCCCCATCAGAGGGGGCTGATGTGGAAACTCGGGCAGCGTCCGTGGAGAAAGCATCGGATGGGGCCTCGGGTTTTGTCCTTGGCTACTCTGTCACCCCGGGTCATTCTCATCCCATCTGTGAGCCTTAGGATCCTTCCCCAAAAAGCGAGCGTTGGTTTCCGTTTTCCGGGAAAGACGGGGAAGAGGGGAGGGAGGGAGAGAGAGCACCAGAGACTCAGAGAGAGACAGAGAACAAGGGAGACCGAGAAAGAATAGTGCGCGGGTGTTGAGAGGGAGACGGAAAGAGGAGGGACGGGGGTTGGGGGGGGTAACACCTGCCACCTTGGCTGGGACGTTTTACTTTTTCATGTGACTTTGATGCACCCACACACGTTGGCATCAGACAGACCTGGGAGTGACCCAGGCTCAGCCACTGGCTAGCTGTGTGACCGTGGGTCAGCGACGTCCCCTCTCTGAACCTCCGTTTCCTCCCCTGTGAAATGAGCTGGGGTGTCGGGCCCTCTCTCTCCAGGTGTTGGCGTCATCCGATGAGATACGGGCCGAGGCCCGGCCCGCAGGGAGCCTGAGGTCAGTGCTCCCTCTTAACATCCCTGGAGCTGATGGGACTGGGGACGTGGGACATGGTCATCTTTTTCCTTTCCTCATTTGTCACAGTGACACCGAAGCCGTCCTTGAAGGGCGGGCAGAGAAAGGGTAGGGGATGCCGGCAGATGCCCGGATGGAGAGTCAGTCAGGCCGCCAGCCACCAGCCCCCCGTTCCTGATCCCTGAGGCTGTGGGTGCCGTTTCCTGGGGCTTATTCAGGCCGAGTATCTTAGTGCCCCTCACGTGGGGATACTTCCTGCCCACGTCGAATGTAAAATCTCATTTCCCCAAAGGAATAAAAAGAGTCAAGGAGGTTGTATATCTGTCTACTATCAGTCATCTTAGAGAGGCCCAAATAGGCCCAGAGGGGGAGAGTGACCTGCCCAAGGTCACACAGCAAAGCATAAAATATGTAACAAATCCTTATCGGGTGCCTACTGTGCGCCAGGGACCAGAGGGACAGCTGGGATCCTCGTGGGTGTGTCTGCCTTCAGGGCCCCTAGGCCAGGCTCCTCTGACAGGGACTGGACACAGGAGGGATTGTCATCCCCTTCTACAGATGGGGAAACTGAGGTTCAGCAAGTTGAGCCGGCCCAAGGTCACGGAGCTGGTGAGATTCAGATGGGGGTGGGATGTGAATCTAGGCTTCAGCGCACGCAGAGCCGGGACTCCCCCAAAGCTGCCGAGTGTGGGGGAGGATTGGCGTGGGGCTTTGGGTTTGCCACTTTCCGGCTTGGTTCGTGGCTCTGTGGACGGACTCTCTTTGTGCAGCCCAGCATCCGCTTTAGATTTGCTGTTCCTGCTCTGAGCCCAAAGTGGGTGAGTCTCCTGGAGCCTGTGTACCTCCCCGGAGGAGGGGACACGGCCCGGGGACGCACTGTGGACGGGCAGCCGAGGAGGGGTCCGCTTTGGGGTTGTGGGGCTCTGCGGAAGGGTTCCAGCTGGGTGGTAGGGGTCCCCCACATCCCCAGGGGCGGGTTCTTGGAGATGGGCCTTAGTGCTGCCTTAGAAAGGGGACTTTGGCCACCCCTGGGCAAGACTCCCTTCCGTGGCTTCTGTCTGCTGTGATAGCTGGTGGCCGTTACCTGAGCACCTGCCGCGTGCCGGGCACCGGAGAGCCTGGTGTGACTGGGCAACGGGTGGGGTGTTGTCCTTGTCCCATTTCACGGGGAAAGAAGCTGAGGCTCAGAGAGGGACAGTGATTTGCCCGAGGTCAGCCTGCTGGGGAAGTGCCAGGGACCAAGATGCAGACCTTGGTCATCTGACTCCAAACCACTCCCACCCCCACCCCACCATGATGTTTTCCATCTTTGGCTGCTTGTTACAGAGGGGCCCTGAACCCGGGACTCCCCCTCTGCCAGGGTGAGATGTATCAGTGCTAGGGGGTCACTGATGCTATCCTTGCCACTGGGGGACCTGGGGACAGAGGTGCCATCTGTGAGCAGGGAGAGGGGTCACATGCCTCAGAGAAACGTTGCCAAAAGGCTGACAGCCAGGTGGAGGGTGGGAGTCAGCAGGGGTGAGGAGGAGAGGGTGTTCTAGGCAGAAGGAACGTCAGGAGCAGGGTTGTGGAGGTGGGAAGGATCAGGGCTCTGTTGAGACTCTGAGGCTGGAGGCCCAAGAGGGGAGCAGGCCAGGTTATGCGGAGCTGGGAGCCCTGGGGAGCCATGGAAGGCTTAAGCAGGAGAGGGGCCTGCTCTGGTTGACGCTTTAGGAAAGTCACCTGACTCACAGCGGGGGAAATGGGCTTGGGGGCCAGCACAAGGCCACCGCAGAAGGGAGACAGTGGGGGCCTGGACCGGGGTGGAGGCAGGGGGGCAGGAGAGAAGCAGGTGGATTTTGGAGGCAGCCTCTTCCCTCCCTGGTGCCTGGACTCTGGGGCCTGGGCAGGAGTGAAAGGCGATGTTCAATGTCCAGAGCTAGCCGGGCCTCTCTTGGAGATGGGGAACAGGAGCCAGGAGAATCACAGATGTGTCTGGGGGCCCACGGGACTCCCAGGCTGCAGGACAGAAGGGCCGATGGGATGTGGCCCAACCCTGTGGCTCCCCGGCCTGCTTCTGCTTCCAGGCCCAGGGGCCCAGCCCCCGCCCCCCCCGCAGCTGAGTGGCAGCTGTCAGACGCCAGTGTCTCCCCCTGCCAGGTCCAAATAAAGGAAAAACCAAAATACATTTCCCTTTGTCGGAATCCGGCGAGGGTGAGTCGGGCGAGAGTCATTCGCTATTGTGTGCTGGGGCCCACACTGCTCCTTACATAAGCTTTGAGTTAAAAATACGCACGGAATTCTAATTTGCCTGCTCCGCCTGGGATCGCACCCCGGTCCCCCCACCCGTTGGTGGGCAGGGGGTGGGGCAGACCCCCCCCCCCGCCCCCGCGCCCACGGAGACTAAGAGACGGTCCCGTGGCCAGTATCCCCTCCTGGCATATGGGCAGTATTAGATCTGATGCCTGCAAGGCCCTGGGCTGTTGAAGAATAGTGAGGGTAATAATCCTGAGAGCAGCTAACCTGTTGGGGAGGCTCCTCATGTGCTCAAGTCTTCACCCGTGTTATCTCCGTTAATCCTCCCAGAAGCCCGTGAACTTGGTTCCCATTTTACAGCACAGGATAACGCCTTGCTCAGGCCGCCACCCTGGATCAGCACCCGGGGGGCCCTTGATCTGGGTGCTAGTTGGGAGGCCACCCTGACCTCCACAGCCCCCTCCCCCATACCTCCGGCCTTCGGTATGGAGGGCGGCAACGGGTGGGGGGGGGGGGGGTGTGGGCAGGAGGCGGCCGGGCAGAAGTCCCCTTTCTGAGGGTTCGAGGACAGAGGGGTAGGTGGTACCGCGTCACCAAGCCCTGCCTCGGAGCGGGGGGGCGGGGGCGGGCAGCTGCCCCCACCAAGCTCACGACCCCTGGGCCACGTGCCTCATGCGAATTGGAACCCAGCCCTGGGGATACTGAGTGCAAGGTCTGTTTTGCGGACTCTGAAAAAGAAGGCTCAGTCAGTCCCCTCCGTGGGTGTGGGCGGCCTCCCCAGAAGTGAAATTTGTTTCCCCAGGGAAACAAATGCGTGTCTTTTCCCCTCCTCCCTCCAACCCAGGCCAAAGGGGTCCCCGGGCCGTCCTGGCAGGCCCGCGGGTCTCCCCGCTCAGGCAGGGAGTGTGCTTGCTGTGTGCTAGGCCGCGTGCTAAGCCTTTTACATGGATCATTTCATTTAATCCTCGTAACTGCCTCCGTGGCGGCCAGTCCTATTATTTCCCCCATTTTCTGGGGCTGAGGTTCTGGGGGCTCAAGTGAAGTTCGCAGAAGTCCTGTGCTCCGCAAACGGCAGGCGCTGTCATTGTTGAACCCGGTAAGGGAATATGGCATCACTTGGGTTACTCGTGTGCTCGCTGCTTTCGCACCGGCTCGGGGTCCTGCCTTTCCCCTCGTGGAATTTACTGACCCCTGTCGTGGCTGGAGAAGCACGGAAGGCAAAACCCGACGCGCTCTCATGTTCACAGTGGGGTGAGCCGGAGGCAGCCGGTACCCCGATACCGTGATTCCAAGTTGGTGGCAAAAACGACCAAGTTAAGGGAGGCAGAGCTGAGGAAGGGAGGGATAGCTCAGCCAGGATTTGTTCTGCGCGTGAAGGAAGACCGGCGGGGGGGGGGGGGGGGGGTGGGGGGTGGGGGGTGGGCAGCTCCAGGCCCTGCCCCTGGAGGATTGGGGACTGAGGTGGTCTGTTCTGGCCAAGAGGGGAATGTCCTTAAAAACTGCCCCGCAGCCCTTTCTTGCTGGGCGGGCGTGACATCGGGTCCCGTGACCCCAAAGCTCCTCCCCTTGGCCCCTGTGCTGCCTGCACAGGGGGGAGGCACATTCAGGGTGACACATTTTGAGTTGATGCCTCAAGGACTGACCCCCACATGCACACTGTTATCCCCTCTTTTTCTTGTATGGTCTCCCCAAGCCGCTCTGAGATGGGCCTGCCAGGGATCACCATCCCCAAGTTACAGATGGAGAAACTGAGACTCTGCAGATGGGGCCAGCTGCCCAGGTATGGGGGATCTGGGATTCCACCTCAGCCCAGCCCTTGGGGAATCCTGGACTAAAAGGAGAGGGCTGGTCCAAGCTGGTGGCTTGGCCCCTGGCGACCCTGGGGGCAGTTCCATGCCCTCCGGGGCCTCAGTCTTCCCATCTGTCAAATAGGGATGAGGCTCACGTCACGGCCTACAGGTCCCAACAGAGCACCTCCTGTGCATGGGGTGCTGTGGCAAACAGACAGACCTTCTCCCCTCTGCAGGCACAGTCCGACGGGGGAGGCCGAGAGCTAACAAGTGGAAAATGTGACACTCCACATCAGTTTCCGCGGTGCGCTGAGCAGCTGCAGGGTCTCCCCTGACCCTGTGAGCTCAGCGAGGGGTGGTTGTATCTCTGGGTCCTGGCCTGGGGGGCCGCATGCCTGCCCCCCGGGGGAGTGGGGAGTGAGGGCCTCTCTCGAGTAGGGGCAGGCCCTGACTTGAGGCCGCTTCCATGGGACTGATTTATCCGCAGCCGGAGGGGGGTGGGGGGGGTGGGGGGGGGGGGGGGCGTAGCGGCAGACCTAGGGCGTGTTGGGTCCCCCTGGCTGGAATGAATCCGGAGGGAGGATGAGTTTGGTCATGCTTTGGGGTTGTCAGGAACTGAAGAATAATATTCTCTCTTAAAAATATTCCCCGTGGATATCAGACTCTCTGGCTCGTCCCAGGCAGAGGCTGGGGAATCGTGGGCCCATGCTCTGTGACATTGGGGGAGGCCCTCCCCCACTCTGAGCCCCCAGGTGGGGAGAAGGGGCACCCAGCTGCTGGGCTTGTGGGGAGCGGGGGTACGGGATGAGATCACACACGGACAGGTTCAGCTGTATGCCTGACACTCCCTCCTTAAATCCTCCCCAAGTAAGAGGAGCAGCTATTTCTAGAAACGGCGCACGGCGTGTTTAGGAGTTATCCATAACTTGGCAATAAAGCGTCTTTAGGAAATGTGGCCATTTGGGTCAGTCTGGAAGCGTCGCTCAGCAAAGCCCGCTTCCAGAAGGGCCCCCAGGCCTCCTGCGTCTGAGCACAGAACTTGGAGAACGTTCCTTCATCTCGCGCCCTTCATCCTGCAGCCTCAGGGCAAGGGAGCCCGGCGGCAGGGCTTGGGCCTGGGTCTCGTCTTTCTCTGGCTGTGCAAACTTTGGCAGGGGGCCTCGGTTTCCCGTCTGTAAAATGGGCCCAGGCAACTGCTCTGTTGGCTCCTTGAGACGATGTGTGCGAAATGAAGTGAGGAAGCCCCTTCAGAATTTTCTCTCTCTCTCTCTGTCTCTCTGGCAGATGCTCCCCTCCCCCAATCCAGATCTCACAGTGCTTGGAGCAAAATCCCTTTTGCGGGGACCAGGGAGCAGGGCGTCACTGGGAGCAAGGCAAGCTTGGGCTCAAGAGCAGAGGTGTAGGGGCTGGAATCCGGGGCCCACTGTGTGCTAGGGGACCCTGAATCTGATGCCTCTAGCTTCGTGGGGGTACCTTGTCCCCAGGAGGCCCTGGGTGTGGCATCAGCAGTGACACCACCACTAACAAGCTTTGAAACCTCTGGCTCAGCTTCCCCTTCTGTGAAATGGGAGCAAAGACTCCAGTCTCGTGGGCAGGAGCGGGCCCACGTGGCTAGTCCTAAGGTGGGGACGAGGCTTGGGGGCCTCTGGAAGGCCGCAAGGACCCCTCACCTCCTGGCCGCCCGAGAAACGGATGGCAGTCCCAACAGCCCCGTCTGGGGAGTGCTCTGTGCGCCAGGCCTTTATAAGGCCCGAGGGAGGTGACATTGCCCCCACCTGGGGGGCGATGAGGAACTGAGGCTTGGAGAGAGCCGGGGAATGTGGCAGGGATTAGGGGTTCAAGCCCCAGCCTGTGACTCCACCGAGGCTGTCTCCTGATCTTGCTGTCCACCCCAGGAGGGGGAGGAAGACGGTGTCTGCCTTATCCGAATCCTCCCTGATCTGCAAGGCTAGTGCCATGCCTGGCACATAGTAGGGACTCCGTAAAGGCTTGTTAACTGGATGAATGAGCCGGGGAGAGAGTCCTTCTCCCCAGTCCCAGCTCCTCCCAGCATGCCGGTCCTAAGCTGGGTGTCTCTGGGGCTCCAGGGTGGGAGCTCACTTAGTCACAGCCTGGCCCATTCTCTGGGAGGATTTTCTCTGCAGGCCGAGGCTCGGCTCCCAGGGGAGGCCTCCCCCCCCTTAATCCCGGAGGGCGGGCTGGGCGGGGTAACTCCTGCCTGGCACAGGGCCCTGGCCAGGCCTGCGCAACAGCACGCTGAGGAGGGCGGGCCGGTCACGGAGTTCAGTATCTGGGTGTGCTCCCTCGGCGGGAGCTGGGCCCCCACCCCCGATTCCAGCGCGTTAGCAGCCCCCGAAATGACCGTTCCATTCCTTCCTTGCCTTAGAACTCCCAGCTCGTGCTCTCTTTGAGTGTCATTCATACTAAGTTATGAGTGGTTGTCAGACTCTCTTGCCCCTCAAGTCTGTCGAACCCAGACATCACTATGATCGGTGGTGTTTCTGGTGCTGTGCGACTGAGAAGGAAATTGAAGGGATTTTCGCTGAGGGTGTAGGGGAGGAACCGACTCCCTCACCCGCACCACTGCCAGTCCCTTCGTGAAGCAGCTGGGGTGGGCAAAGGACACTGGTCTCAGCAGTTTGCTGCTGTTTCAGGAAGTCCCCAGCACGTAATAGGCCCTTAGCGAGTGTCTGTCCAGAGGATGACAAGAGAATGAACCGTGTTCTGGACCCTGACAGCCCTCCCCTCCACCCTTTGACCGTATAGCTGGCGAACTCCTACATATGCTTCAATGCCCAGTTTACATACCCCTCCTCCAGGAAGCCCTCCCAACTTATTCCACATCCAGTTAATCTTTTGGGAACTCTAGTCCGTCAGAGATGGGCAAACCCTGCCCAGTTCTCCCATTTCCTGAAGGGAAACACCTGACCCCGAGCCAGGGGCCTACCCTTGGCGGAGGTCTCCCAGCCACGTCAGAGGCAACCTCAGGGGGATTTGAACCAGACATCTCTAGATCTCCTCGGACGGCTTCAGGCATGAAAAGAGGGCGTGGGCGGTGTCTCTCTTCCCGCACGTCTCTCCGACTCCGCCCCCCCCCCCTTAGGGCCTCCTACAGAGCGGAGCAAGCTCCTAACCTTTCTTCCTTTTTTTCTCTGCAGCCCATGACCTCCCTGCAAATAAGGCCTCAGCCACCCAGCCGGGCAACCACTTGCAGTGCCTGTCTGTCCACTGCACAGACGACGTGGGTGACACCAAGGCCCGAGCCTCCGTGCCCACCTGGCGGTCTCTGCACTCCGACATTTCCAACAGATTCGGGACGTTCGTGGCGGCCCTGACTTGAATTGACAAGAAATGGG